GACTAACATAAATTCTCTGTGTTCTCCAATAGTGCAGAACACAGCACGTTCTTCCTGTATTTACTTTTGTTGCTTCTGCCCCAGACACATGGGGCCAGTGAGCAGACGCAACATTCTCACATGGTTTATGATGCAATATTCTCCACTTGGAAAATAAACCAAAGCGTGGCAAAAAGCTACGAGTTAAGCTACTCCTCAACTGAATCGGACCAGAGTAAATGTACTACATGTGTGAAAACACCCTCAGAAATCTGCCAGACACAAGACCTCTGCTACTCTACACTCGCCAGTTATACATGATTTAAATGTCCGTCAGGGTCTGAGTACAACTTTCACTAACTAACCCCCCACCCAAAAAAAACAACAGTATCAGCAACTTCTTTCAAACAAAAACCAAAAGAAATGATGCCCAAACTCATGAAGGTGAGACCCGCATTCTATTGAACTTGGATTTATCCTTTTAATGGTAACACTGACATTATTATTAGTATCAATTCAAAATTCAGCGTGGAGATTACAGGCAAAATGATCACATATCTAGCTCGCATCAGAATCAGAATCGTGTTTATTGGCCAAGTATATGTGCAGACACATACAGGGAATTTGGTTCCGGTAGATGGAGGCTCTCAAGCACAGCAATGTAAATCACACACACACACGTGTCTATATATACATTACACATACATACACAAAGCTGTGTAAACCAACTATAAATAACCAATCTAAACTTATATACATAAAATACAGAAAAGAAGTGGAATGAATACTACAAAATGTACATAAGGTGCAGCTGCAGTCTGGCAGTGGGAGCAGTGTGACAGGTCAACTGTTAAGAAGGGAGATGGCGAGGGGAAAGAAACTGTTCCTGTGTTGGGTGGTCCTGGTCTGCAGGCTTCTGTACCGTCTGCCAGAGGGCAGCAGATCAAAAAGTCTGTGTCCAGGGTGTGAGGGGTCTGTGATGATTTTCCCTGCCCGTTTCCTGGTTCTTGAGAGGTACAGATCCTGGATGGAGGGCAGGGGGGTGCCGATGATCCTTTCTGCTGCCCGTACAGTCCGCTGCAGTCTGCGCCTGTCCTGTTTAGTGGCTGCTCCATACCAGACTGTGATGGAGGAGCACAGGACAGACTCAGTGACCGCAGTGTAGAAATGGATCAGCAGCTCCTGTGGGAGACTGTACTTCCCCAGTTGTCTCAGGAAGTACATCCTCTGCTGGGTCTTTTTGAGGATGGAGTTGATGTTGGTCTCCCACTTCAGGTCCTGGGAGATGGTGGTACCCAGGAACTTGAAGAACCTTACAGTCGACACATGGCTGTCTGATATGGTGAGGGGGAGCAGAGTTGAGGGATGTCTCCTGAAGTCCACTGTCATCTCTACAGTCTTAAGAGTGTTCAGCTCCAGATTGTGCTGACTGCACCAGACTCATCACCATCCTGAATGAGGCCAATGACAGTGGTGTCATCTGCAAACTTTAGGAGTTTGACAGCCGAGTTCTTGGAGGTGCAGTCGTTAGTGTAGAGGGAGAACAGTAGTGGTGAGAGGACACATCCTTGAGGGGCACCAATACGGAGGGACCGGGTTTCAGAGGTGATCTCCCCCAGCCTCACTTGTTGCTTTCTGTCTGTCAGGAAGCTAGTGATCCACTGACAGGTAGCTGGTGACACGCTGAGCTGGGAGAGTTTGGAGGAGAGAAGTTCAGGCACAATGGTGTTAAAAGCCGAACTAAAGTCCACAAACAGGACCCTGGCATAAGTTTCCGGGCTGTCGAGGTGTTGCAGGATGTAATGCAGCCTGATGTTAACTGCATCATCCACCGACCTGTTTGGCGAGGTAGGCAAACTGCAGAGGGTCCAGCTGGTGGCCTGTAATGTCCTTCAGATGGGCTAACACCAGTCGTTCGAAGGATTTCATAACCACAGACGTCAAGGCGACAGGTCTGTAGTCATTCAGTCCTGTGATGGTGGGTTTCTTGGGAATAGGCATGATGGTGGAGTGTTTGAAGCAGGAGGGAACTTCACACAGCTCCAGGGATCTGTTGAAGATGCGAGTAAAGATGGGAGCCAGCTGTTCAGCACAGGTTTTGAGGCAGGAGAGTGAGACACCGTCTGGTCAGGGGCTTTCCTGGGCTTCTGTTTCTGAAATAGGAGGGTGAAGGGGGGAGAGATGGGAGGTGTGTTGGGGGTCAATGTCTGAAGCAATGTCTCTGGGGAGGGGAGGGTGAGGCGTGGGAGTCTGTCCGTCTCAAACCTGCAGTAGAAAGTGTTTAACTCGTTGGCCAGGTCTTTGTTTGCTTCAACAGTGGGTGGGGGGTGTCTGTAGCTGGTGATTTACTGCAGGCCCCTCCACACTGACGCTGGGTCGTTGGCTGAGAGCCGGGAATTCCTTTCCAGGGTGGTAATCTGGTCAGCCAGCTCGCACAGTGCGTTATTCGGGTTGGCCTGAGGAGGGATGTAAATACCGACCAGCATGAAGGAAGAAAACTCCCGCGGTGAATAAAACGGTTTACAATTGATGAAAAAACTTTCCAAGTGTGGGCTGCAGTGTTTCTGTAACACTGTGACATCAGTACACCAACCTTCATTAATGTAGAAGCAGACTCCACCACCCTTTGTTTTCCCTGAGAGCTCAGTTTCGCGGTCCGCCCGGTGGAGTTGGAAGCCCGGCAGATTTAAGACAGCGTCTGGGACTCGCTCACTGAGCCAGGTTTCAGTGAAGCAGAGGGCAGCAGAGCGTGCAAAGTCCTTGTTAGCAGTAATTAGTCGACTTTGTTTGGAAGAGAGCGGAGATTCGCGAGGTGAATGGAGGGGAGTGCCGTGCCGAATCCTCGCCGACGTAGTTTCACCAGCGCGACTCCCCCGTCTACGTCTTCTCCAGGAGCCACAGAGAGCTGTGAGCTCCAACTCCAACTAAAATGAAAACTTTTCCAGGTTTGTGAAAAATGGATAAGAACTATAGTGAGACGACTGGCTGATGTTTAGCAGTTGATCTCTGGAGAAAGTGATGTGGTCTGAGTGACCAAAAGCGCAGAAAATAAACAGAAGCAAGAAAAGTGCGAGAGAGCGCAGTACCGAGGCTGCCATCCGCGGCGCCATCTTGATCATCAGTGCATATACAAATACTGTAAATAACCCCCCGTAAAGAACGCTCTTTACCATAACGCAGTTTGGTACATACTGTGATGCAGGAATATTAAGCTTCAGCACAGTCTAATCTTGCCCATGGATTTGTTACATGCAGTAGGTCAACCTTGACCCAAGTTAATTAGAGCTCTAAATATGTACAGCCTGACTCTAATTACACACTGTGCACCAAGTCCGCTAACAACTCAACTAACCTAATCCTAAGTCTTTAGGACCCACAAACTGGCTGGCTTTCAAACACACACAGATCCTCTGACACCAACAAAGGCTAAAGAAATAATTCAGGATTTACACTGCAAACCTGCTCATCAAATACACACTCGACACACACACATATACACAGACACACAACTCATCCGGCTCTCCAGGCGGACTTCACCTCCCACACATATTACTTTGGCAGTGATGGAACAGCAGCATCTCTCCCAAGAGAGAGGAGCAATACGAGGCGAAAGGAGTAGCAAGAGAGACAAGGAGGTGTTAGTCTCTCAGATTAAAACACTAAATATACCAACATGTACAAGATATTTGTTCTTTGTTTCCATCTGTCTATAATCCCTGCCTACTGCCCTCTATTCAAGAAGATTTATTGTCTTCAAAGTTTAAGAATATTGCCACTGCAACAAAACAAAGGGACACAATTTTCCCTTAAGAGCTACAGATGAAACCTTGATAAAGCTCAATTTACACTTATTTTCAAAAGTTTCTTACCAATATTCACGCTATACATCACTGCAGTGAACAGCAGGATTGTGTATGCATGACTGTCACTGTCTAATCCTGAGTGCACTGCAAGTTAATACACAGGGAATTAAACCAGAAATTGGAGATGCTTGTTTACTTGCACTGAGCATTCCTGCCATACCTAATGATGAGTGCATATCCAACTTGCCTTGATGAACAGTAAAATTCAACCACACAAGTTGAAATATTCAACTCAACACAGCATCTAGACGAGAACATGCTGATGCTTGTCTCTAGTTTTTTCCCGCACCACGCTGTTTACCCAAGAGGTATTTTGTTCTTAGGATAGTATATCAATGATTTACATAAGGAAAAATAAAAAAATAAATGCACTTAGGTGTTTCTATTTCTATTTCTTTTTAATTAGTTCACATTTCTCACGTACCGCTGGCAACCACAGACGTACCACCTGGGGAAAAAGCACCTCCATTTGGGTTTCACAGTCATAGTCTGGATTCTGTTTTGTTTGTTTAGAGTAAAGCTACACAAAAACGATACCTCCTCTTCTTAATCCTCCCACACTAAATCCCTCCATTATTTACCTCATCTAAAAATGTCTATTACCTTAACTTTTAAGCCCCCCTTAAGCAAAACAGTTTTTATTACTGCAAAGCTGAAAGTGCCATCATTATTTCAAGAATTGCTGAAATGCAACCTTGGGAGTCTGAAATAATGCTAAAAGGTGAGAAGTATATATGATTTATGCACTTTTAATACCACAGTTCATAAGATGGGGAGAATGCGGAAGAATAAAACAGTCGCTCTTTGTTCTGAAGCTCAATCTGCAGGATTTATCTGCTGCTCCAGAAATGATAAAGTAATGATAAAAGGCAAAAGTAATGTCTTCCTCATCTCAGAATGTGGCAGGACATATTATTTTTTCTGTATTGTTTGTGATATTCATGTTAAATATGGTCAAATAATGAGGCCAGCACTTGTACGAATAATCCCTCCAGGTTTCAGCTGCTCTTAGTGAGTTCCCAGCAGTTTTTTCTACTCTTAGCTATGTATGATGTCAGCGAATGAGATCACTAATATAGTCATCTCAGGCATCAATATTTTTCCTTTACTGGACCCCAGTAATGAAAACACAGAACACGAAATAAACACATTTCCTACCTATAGCCATGAAGTCCTCGTGGTCCCAGGCTTGCAGCTGCGCTAAGGGGCCGCTGTACAACACCAGGCCATCAGCCACGTCCGTGATGAACTCCAGCGACACATGGCTCTCGAAACAGGGCATCATGGGAGGAAACCAGGCATAGCCGTTGCCATGGAAACTGTGCTTGTTCTGCTGGCATTCAGGCCCCTCGAACTGAGCTGGGCACTGGCACCTTGGGACAAAGAGGAAATCAAGAGGCAAAATGACACGAGTTAGTGAATGCAATAAAGAGATGGCTCCGATTTTTTCACCGCTTTGTGAAAATTCAGTTAAAACACTACCCTGATCTTTCTCAACCCCTTTTTGAACCTTTTGCCATATTTAGCTCTTTCAAGTATTTTTGCACCACGTCTGCTCTCCGTGTCTCCAAGTCTAGTTGTTTTCCCCTCTCAGACTAAGCTCCCCTTCGGCTATCTCGCTCTCTCATTTCGTATGTTTCACTGATGCAGATGTTCTCATTAGTGGCAAAACCACAGGGAGAATCACAACATCACTACCAAACTCCTCTCTCTGTGTTTCCACATATTCAAGTACTCATTTGTACCACTGCTTCCTGTCAAAATGTCACCTCTCACCTTCTCTCTCTGGGAGCACTTTAGCCTGTAAATTACAATGCCACTTCTTTGTCTACATGAACAATCCTATAAATACATAAAATGAGTACGAAATAATCAGGAATTTTTCCTCTGACATAAAAACATGTCCAACTCTGTTGAGTGGTGATTACTCTCTGTAATCACCAGTGAAATGTAAAAAAAAACATACACCCAAACAACAATGGGACTATATTATCGCAGCCATCTGTTTCCCTCGCCTTTTCAGAGTGTGTATTTTACCATCTAAACTCGACACATTCCTGAATCAATTTCTCTTATTTATCTGATTTTTTTTTAAAAAGCTTTCATCTTTTCATGTTTAGTAGCTGGAAATAAATCTCACGGGAAAGTCATGGATTTTTCAGCAAAATAAAAATTCCCTTCTTTCAATCCACATGTTGCCAGCAATTAAGAAATATAAAAATTGTACACCCAGCTTGCCTTCCAAATTTGCGCACACAGACGCGCGCACACACACAAACAGAACAACAATGCCTTTCTCCAGGGGAATTCTCTTCCTCCTAATAAGTGAGTTTTTCATTGGTTTATGTTATTCACACTTCAGCTGCCTCTCAAGATATTCTGAGTCTGAGCCTGGTGGATCCTACAAGCCCACACAGGATGTGTATTTCCACCATTATGTGTTTGCATTCACACATCTCCTTAGTGTTCCGCAGACAGCTCATTTCTCATCCAAATGTTCCTTCGTTCTCTTGCTCATTTTTCTGCCTCTGCTCTTCTCCAGAATTGAAAGAGGACACGTGAATGCATGTGCACGCAAACAAACAAATGCAGACTCAGAAATCAAGCAGCCCACATACAATAAATGACACCTGTACAAATACAGGAGGCATGTGTCACTTCACTGCCTTCAGATGCAGGAACACAAGCAGGCAAACAAACACTTTAGACGAATGATAATGTAATATACGACAAGATGTTACACTCTGCCGCAAGACGGGTAGTGCTGACTTGAACATTGGCCAACCTTAAAGTACAAGAAATCTCCATGAATCACCAAGAGCCAGATGCACAAATGCTATTCATACACCTTTTCCTGCACACGTGTATGTTTGTGTGAAATGCAAATGCAAAAAGGTGCACGCACATTTGAGCCTTTGTGGGTAAATAGTGTCAGTTGTATGCAGAGTTTTATTCATCCGGGCCCTGGTTTTCTTCACAGTTTGAGAAAAGGATGCTTGAATTCACTATAAGCGGCGCAGAATCAGAACCATCATAGCTATGAAACATAAAATGCCTTTTTAAGGTGATGTAATAGCTTTTTCAACTCGAAGGGCACTCTGACAGAACATGTCTTCACTGAAGCTAGTGCCCAATTTTGTAATGTTAAGGGAGACCAATTATGCTCTTTCCACTGTATTTATCACTATAATAGCTTTGAATGATTCATCTCGAGAAAGATTTTGAAAACAGACTGAAAACCTACTGAAAACACAATTTGCCATTCTTAATTGGAAATGCCAGCTGTTCAAACACATCTGTGTAAAGCTTGATTTCAAATCAGGTGACAAGCTCTGATCCACCTAAAGGTGACAGCACTAGCACACATCTACTCTTCACAAAAACACTTCAACTTCCACTTTAAAGCCACATGCTATAGAAAAGATGGGTATGACCATGGGTTCTATATGCATTTTGATCAAACCAAACCAAATTACAATGTCAATGCTGTGCTGTATTTTGAGCCGGAAGTCAGAAATTCTGAGTTCACAGTCAAAATCTTTCAGCTAAACTCCCCCACTTGGAAAGTCGGGGCAATCGCGTACCAGCAGCACGCATAAACTTACAACAGAAGTTGTAAGATGTACTACAAATGTAGCTTTTTTGTGACTTGTTAAATACACTGAACAAAAATCATGCTCTATCTGTGACTGTGCTGCAGCACTGTTTATAAGTGCAAATACATATGCATTTTATTATAGTCCAAGTATGAAGCCTGAATGTATCTCCCTTACAGTTCTAGCTATCGAACATTAAATGCCACATTAAAGCAATGCAATGGCTTTCTCCACTCTAAAAGTGCACATCTTCACCAAAGAATGCCCAATTTTGCCATTTTAATGGGGTCCGATTATGTGCTTTCTACCTACATATTTATCACTAGAGTAGCTTTGTATGATTTATCAAGAGAACATTCTGTACACTTACTGAAAAACACAGTTTGACATTCTTATTTGAAAATGCTACCTTCAAACACGTCTGTACGGGTTTGAGTCTGAACAAGAATTTTTCTGACTTTTACAACTAGAATGTGGTCAACTCTGGTTTGCCATCACTCACTGATAAATGATCCAACTTCCAGGGTATATGGAATTTGGAATCAGGTGATGAGGGGGTGAAGTTCTACGTTATCAGGAAATGCTAGTGTGGACAATTCGAAGTGCTACAATTATACAATGCAGGTGGTTCATAAAACCACAAGCCCAGTGCAGAAGTCACGTCTTGTGACTCAGTTTAGTGGATACAAGGCCAATCAGAGACACCTGTCAATCAAGGCAGCGTAGACTTCAGAAGCCAAACATTTGTTTATTTTTAGTGCCGAGCAGAAAACATTTTCATTTCTGCTGTAACGTTGGCCACTTTTACACGGCAGTCTAAGGAGACTTCTCTACTTATAGAGCCAGCTTCAAAATGCCATCAGAGGAAATGCAGTTTTTGGCACATTTGTTTGGTTTTTCAGCCCCTGAGGTTACTGCTAATAACAGCAGGTCGCACTAACATCCTATGGTGTCATGTTCTGTGGAAGAACAGTTTACTCCACGGACCAATAAGGATTCTGCAACACTTCACTGGTAAGAAACACTTGTAAGAAAAGTAAATAAGAGAAGGAAGAAGCTACCTGTGATTTTATACCTTTTTATTTATTTGTTGCTTATTGGTTTTTTCCCCCTTAGGCTTTAAAAAGTCATTCATACTCAAAAGTTTTGTTGGCGTGTAAGACTGGAGGTACCAGGAAAACATTCACGCCTGCATTTTCATTTTGGTGATGTCACGCTAATTCTCTGAGCACAAGACAATCCGAGGCATAGTTTTAGACACAATTGCGAAGCTCTCCAATCCTCTTAAGGCAGCTTTGTTTTGCTCATTCGTTGTCTGCTGGGAATTGCGTTTGTTAACGCTGGGCCGGGAGCCGTAATCCCACTCCTCCACTCAACCCCCTCACTTCCCAGATCTCATTATTAATCCCAGTGCCTCGATTATCTGCATGTTCTTTCTTCAATCTTGGACTGTAATCTTTTTGTGTGTGTGTGTGTGTATGCGTTGGGGTCATATCTCAAAGCCCCAAGAGCAGAAAACTATCCTACAGCCATTCTATCTTTTATTAACTCTTATCTTATCTGCATGTGTTATTTCTTCCCCCTTCACTTTTCTTCTTTTCTGTCCTTGCTCCCATTTTCATTATCGTGCTCTTTTATCATTTCCTCTTTCCTCTCCTTGCTACCCTGCACTTCCTTTCCCATTTTTGATCCTCTAGTCTCCTTTTCTTTACCACTGTTCCCTCTCTCATGTGTTCCCATTTCCCCCTAATTCCCTTCACCTTTATCCAACTCTGTCTCATTTCCCCAGCCTTTCCCAAATCCCCCTTTTCCTTTCTATTCTCTTCTCCTTTCTATCTTCATTTCCTGACATCCACTGTCTTGCTGCTCCCACTTCTGAACCAGCAGAATCACACATCAGATGTTACAGAGCTCAGGTACTCTAACGTGATTGAAAATGCGACAATCATCTGCATCTCTGGGTTGCCAGCTTCAGCTGCTTTGCCTTGTTCTCTCTCTGTCATCTATTTGGCTGATACTTCACAAAGAAGCAATTCCTGCATTTCCGCTTTGGCTTGCATTCAGTTTTCATAAAACAGATGCAGAACGTGTTACTTTAGAGCCAGCATTTAATCATGCACTCAGTTTTAAGCCTTGATCACCAAGTTATGGAACAGTTCTTGCTCACTCCCCTCAGCCTTATGACAGATCCACTGTTACACCAAATAGAAAGTCTACATGTGCATCACAGTTACAAAAGGTCGTCTTTGCCAAGTCTAAAAGTCTCCAGAATACCAGGAAACGTGTTGTTTACACTTGATTGAAGTATGTTTATTCATAGAACATGAATTATGTATCCAGGTTTGGATGTAAAGCACGTTTACTCAACTGAAAGTTCTATAAGTCCATAATATGTCCAGAGTGGGAAAGCACAAGCCTAACGAAGCACAACTATAAAAAGGTATACACAGCTCATCAAGCAGTCAGTGCTGTTACGCTTCAACACAAATGTACACAGGAGGAAAATCAACGTGTGGAACATTACTGGAGGAACAAACAACATTAGATATTTTCTCATTTGGTGTATTGATGATGCTTGTGGAGAGTGCTTCCTGAATCCCATATGTATTCAGACAGTTCACAGCTTGTGGAATACAAAACTGTTCTTGAACCTTTCAGTGACCCCTCGTGACTGCTCGAATTGTCGTGTATAACTCTTAATTTTACTGCATGTCAGTATGTCAAAGGTTATCATCTGAAGACAATAAGAAATAATAAGAGATAGTTTGAGGAAACGT